GTAGAAATTTGTTTCAAGGGAGCTTCCCTCAACAGAGGAGCACAAAAATCCCAGGGTTTTATGAAATCTAGAATGTCCAAGGAACTCCTCTGATATTTGTTCATGCCGGGTCACTACAAATATGTCCATTGTCCAAACATAAATGTTCCCTTGAAAGCCACGTAAGCACATCATCTGTGCCAGGGTCTAACCTCCCAGCATCTGACATTCGGTCATTCTACAGAGGCGCTCCCTTTCTGGGCCCCACTGCGATTCTGACTGCTTACTTAGCTCATCCCCAGATCCTTCCCCCAATCCCTCCTGGTTCTAGAGGCGCTGACCATATGCACTCACGCTCCTCACACTCCTTTCTGCCTTCAGGATGCTTACATTTCCTCAACAGGTTCAATTTTTCACACACACACACACACACACACAAAAAAAAAAAAACAGGGAAGTTTTTAAGGCTTTTGGCAAATGCCCCAAGGCAAGCAAATAGAAGGTGAGACTACCTTCTTGGACTGGAAGGAGGAAAAAGACACAGAGCAAAGCTTTCATTACACATAGCTTTCATTCTCTTTCATTCTTCCCCAATAGCATAAGATAAAACTCAGTATCTCAATATATTATCCTATGATATTCAAAGCAACACACCAAAGTCCCCCTTTACTTCCTCCTAATTCCTCTCCCAGAGCCACCATTATCAGATCTTTGGTTGTCTTTTTAGTTAACCACCAGTTATCTGGTTATAGGCCTTCAATATTTATCAATTTTAATGATGTAGTAGGCCCTGAAGGGCAACTAGGTGGGGGACAGGATAGATTTCATCACAGCCTGGGGGGGAGACGGAAAACAGCAGAGAATTCCAACACAGTGGGAAAGTCTCTGGTTAAGGAGATGCAGGCAGGACAGAGCAGCAAGTGCCAGAAGTGTTTCTGGAATTCAGTTATTTTCTCTGGAACATGGGTTGCCAGTGGGGAAAAGGCAGGGGGTGGAAAGCAAGCCATGGGGCAAGACTGGGGGGCAGGGCCCAGTCCAGACAGGGCCTTTTAAGCTGTGTTTAGGAGTRCAGACTTCATTCCAGGAGCTATTCAGAGCTGTGAGAGCTTTAAGTAGATGGTAACATGCTCAAGTTAGCATTTTAGACTGCGTTGGCTACGTGAGTAGGGTAATGTGAACCTGGTCGGGAGGTTATTTCAGTCCATCAGGATATCAATGATCGTGGCATATATTAGAGTAGCCTTAGTGAGAATGGAAGAAAGTGGTCAAATAAGAGGAATATGTAGGAGGTAGAATTGTTAGAATTTAATGTTTGGATATTGGTGGTTGGAGGTGGGAGCAAGGAAATAGAACAGGCTAGGAGGATAATATCTGGCTTGGATAACAGATGAATGAGTTCTGATCTCTAAGATAGGGAATCCTGGTGAGCAGTTTGGAGGGAGAGAATGACTTGTTCCATTTTGAACAGGCTGAGTTTGAGAATCTCACAAAGATTCTTCAGGTAGAAGGGCCCAGGGGGCAGTTGGATATATGTGTCTAGAATTCGAGAGAATACAGGCTGTGACCTAGTCTTCTGTATGAAGAACCAAGGCTCCGGGATTGACTGGGTCACTCAGAGAGCACTTTAAAAGTGAGAAGGGCCAGACACAGTGGCCTCTGCCTGTCAGCCCAGTGACTCTGGAGGCTGAGTTAGGAGTATCCCAAGTTTAAAGCCTGACTGAACAACTTAGTGAGACCCTGTCACTAAATAAAATATTTTTAAAAAGATCTGGGAATGTGGCTCAGTTGTTAAGTACTCCTGGGTTCAATCCCAGGTACCAAAAAAAAAAAAAAAAAAGTAAACTGATCTTTAGTTTTTTTTTTTTTTTWAGCTTATTTTATTCTACTACTACTTTCCATTTCTTCTGATCTTTATCATTTGCTAGCTGTGTGTTCCTGGGCATGCTGCTTAACCTTTAGTGCCTCAGTTTCCTCATCTTTAAAATGAGGATAATAATAGTTTCCATATCATAGTTTTGTCATGAGTATGAAAATAGTTAATACCTAGGGCTGGGGTTGTGGCTCAGTGGTAGAGCACTCACCTAGAATGTGCAAGGCCCTGGGTTTGATCCTYAGCACCATATAAAAATAAGTAAATAAAATCAAGGTATTGTGTCCAGCTACAACTTAAAAATAAAATTTTAAAAAAGAAAGACTTAATACACAGAAATGCTTAGAGCAATCACTGGCCCACAGTAGTTACTCAATAAATAGAAACCACTATATCATCCTCCTTATTTTTATTAGCATGGACAATGATCCTATTCATTTGGAGTTCTATGATTCCAGAGGATGGAGTCAGACAGCTAACTTCTAATCTTGTGTGACCTTGACATCTCTGAGYCTCAAGCTCCTCTTCTTTATATGGGGATGATAATATCTACCTCATAGTTAAATAATGTCTGAAGCCCTGGTGTGAAAGAGACATTTACTAATGGTTAATCTCCCATTCCCTCTTCCATAGTTGTTGGTTTAGAACCAGGCAAATCTGGTGACTCCGACACCAGGTTTCCCACTTCTGTCCTGTTCTGCTTTGTAGATGCTGGTTCCTGGTTAAGGCCTGCGGGGCAGAGTGGTAGGTAAATATTTTCAAATCCTTCTCCAAAATGACTTTCTCCCTCTCCCTGTCAGCCCTCTTGTCAGTGAGAGGCTTCTTGTGGTCATCATGAGAATACTGGATCGTTGGGGAAGGTGGAAGAGCAAGCAAAGCCGTGGGTCTGCTGGATGCAGTGGTGATACACCTTAGTATTCCAGCTATTTGGGAGGCTGAGGATCTAAGATAAAAAGGGCTGGGATGTAGCTCAGTGGTAGAGCACCCCTGGATTCAATCCCCAGTACTGCAAAAAAGAAAAAGGCAATGGACTTCTGTTAGAAGTCTATTCTTTCTTCCTTCCTTCCTCCCCTTATAGGGCCAGCAATCGAACCCAGGACCTAGCACATGCTAGGCAAGTGCTCTACCACTGAGCCACATCCCAGCCCTTACATCTTTTGATCTACTGGAGCAGCTGACTTGTGATTCCTTACCACACCAGATGAGATCTCTGCAGTCACCAGGGCAATCCTTCTCAAATGGTTCCTGCCCCGTGACTTATTCTTGCTGGCCTTTGCAGCCTTGTCTCCTGCCTTCTCTTTTGTGACAGACCTATTTTCCTGCAGCCCATCTCAACCTGGTGCCTTGGCACAAGTGGCTTCCTCTGCCAAGAACATACCTCTCCATCACCATCCCTTTTTGCTCGTCCATTATGTGAACAGTACCTGTTTAGCCTCCAAGGAAGCTTCAAGTCATCTTTATCCTCCACGTAGGATTATTAGTCCCCTCTTTTTTTATTCTCCCACAGGCCCTTAAACAAACTGTCATGGTAACCTCACAGAATGATGTGTTTCCCTGCTTGTTTCCTGAGCTGCTTCAAGACAACAAGTTTCTCTTATTTGTCATTGACTCCTCAGTGCATTTTACAGTGCCTGGCACTCTGGGATCCTTCAGTGTTGATAGAATTAAAAAATGAATGAATGTATGAACAGATGAATGGACAGGTAGACAGACTAATTGAGTTTGTTGAACAAGGAGCTATATCTTCACTCAAGTAATTATAGCCCAAGCCTCATTCCAGCCTTTTTCTGGGGACAGGGGTGAGTAACCTTTCTCCCTCACCAAACTTCAATCACCACCAGCCTAGTAGTCCTTAAATTCTCAGAATAAGATTGGAAGTCCTTCCTATATTGACACACCTGACCTAGAGATTTTTGTTCACAAGGATACAATTCAAAGCAAGGTAGTACTTATTTATTAAGAACCTACTATGTTCAAGGGACTGTAGTGATACAATGAGAGGAAATAGCTGAAAGTGCTTTCAGAAAGTGACTGTGTTTCTAAATCTATCTTCAACATTATTGTCTTCATAAATTCAAAATTCTCWATGGTTTCCCTGGTGGTTCCTTCTGGAAGTCCTTCAGACTTCAGCATGAGTGGAGAGGAAAATGTGGGCAGCTCCCTGGGAGGAATTCCTTTCTTTCTAGGATACACTGAGTTTCCACCATATGGGAATCTCTGGTAGATAGGATTATCCAGAATAAAATAAACCATCCTTTGTTCTCATAGCACTCTGTCATTTTATTCAGGAAAAGTTGTATTCCAGTGAGTTTRAGAATCATCTTGAAAGAGAAGAGTTTTAGTAGGGCAGTCTCATCCCTTTGATGAGGGGATCCTCAAATTTCTGCTAGCTCATGCTGGCCCACTTCTCTTTTAATCATTGTTCAGCATCAACTGGGCTTAGAGGCACGGGGACTAGAACTGGACCTTCAGAGTAGATGGGCCTTGCTGGCTCCTTCTCCACTGCATCTTTTTGGGGACAGGAGGAGCTCCTAGGAATTATGCTAATCAAGGTTTAAGCCTTAACCAAGTCCCCTCCCAAGATAGTTGCTTCTCCCTATCAACACCTTGCTTGATCCTGTTATGGGCATAGGGAACAGGCAAAGGAGGAGAGTGGGAGAAGCAAAGTAGCATCAACTTAGAAGACCCATGCCATGGGAGAGATGAGAATCTACAGGACAACAGCTGCTGGGAGCATCTCGGGGAGGCAGGAGGCACCAGCAACACCTAGTTGTTGGAGCAGGTAGAAGGATCAGGAATTGAAAAGTTGGGGCCAGAAAAGGAGCTCTCTGCATCTGGCCAGTTTAGAAAAGCAGGAGGGTTGTTGGAGCTGCTTTGCAGCTGCCTCTTCATTTATACTCCTCTAGGAGAGCCTTTCTCCAACCTGTCCTCCCACCTGTATCCTTGGCCCCAGAACCTCTGAAGTGACAACTAATGGTTACTAGCATACCATCAAGCTATCCAGTAATAAGGCCCACTCTTTGGTACCACCAAAAGGCCTACTTGGAACCTGCCTAGAACAGTTAGAGGGCTTGGTTCTCCATCCTGCCTCCTAGAGCCTTCCTAACCCAGSTCTTTGTCTCTCTCTCTCTCTCTCTCTTTCTCTCTGCAGTCCCACCCCCTGTACCTGTGCAATGCCAGTGATGATGACAATTTGGAGCCTGGATTCATCAGTATCGTCAAGCTGGAGAGTCCCCGACGGGCCCCTCGCCCCTGCCTGTCACTGGCCAGCAAGGTAGATTCACATTTGACCCTCCAAATGCCCTGAATGCACCCAGCTCCAGGCTGTGAGAGGCCCCTGGGCTGTCTTGTTACCTTGTCACTTAAGAGTGATGTGCTTGATTCCCTCAGGTTTTCCTCACCTGTGACTGGTCAGAGAGAGGTGAAAATCCATGCCTCTGCCTTTTCTCCACCAACCAGCACCAGCAGAACTTTTTGACTTGCATGCTAGCTACCCAGCCTCTTCCTCCTCTATCACTTAGGAATTCCTAAGTCCCTTCTCCTGTCCAGATCAGAGCAAAGATGATTTAGATGAAGGGCTCTTCTGTCCTTCAGAAATACTTACTGAGCACTTTTCCAAGAACAGCAAAACAGAAGCCATCGCCCCTACCCTTAAAATGTTTGCCTGTTTTTCCGAAGTTGTGAACTGCTGGCCTGCAAGCTAGCTTTGGCTTGCACAACGGTTGTGCTTAGCCCACACAATGACTTTTCAAAACATAAGTCAATTGCTACATTTAAAGATTGGATATGTTTACATAAAACTCCAGATTTTCAGCTTTTCTGGAAGAAAACTCAGAAGCTCCAACAGCACTTGCCCCACATTCTCACAGGCCACAGTTGGCAGGAGCTAGGGAGGAGCTGCCTCCTCTCTACAGCTGCGGGCTCCCTCTGTTCGCCATGTTCTACTCTATCCTGCTACCTCACTGGCCCTGGAAATATTTGTTCTTGTGATCCCTGCTTTAACTAACAATGATAGTTGCTGTTTTCTATGTGATTACCACTGTACCCAGATTTACATACATCAGATTCTTTGTATGTATCATCTCATTTACTTTTTACAACAATCTGGAAAGGCAGGTATTCCTCTCCATTTGGCATAGGAGGTAAGTGAGAATCAGATACATTAAGTGACTTGCCAGAGCAACACAACTCAGGAGGGGTGGAGCTGATATTTGAACCCAGCCCTGTCTGGTTCTCAACTTAGGTTTTTAATCTTTCTACTGTGCTGCCTTCCATTCTAGCTGGAAAATTTGAATGTATGCATACAGTATATTTAGATTGTATGTGGCACAGATGGGTGTACTTAAGGGAGAGGATCCTGCCTCCAGCGTTGGTAAGAGAGGAGAGTAATACCCACAATCTTTGTGCTGGTTCCTTGTACTCATGCCCAGATCCCCTGGGGATTTCCTGATCCTCCTGAGATTCAAAGGGAAATAACCTGAGGTTCTTAATTCATCCCACAGAGGGATATGGGCAGATTCTGAATATAGCTTTGGGGATGTAGCTCAGTGGTAGAGTGCTTGTCTAGCTTGCACAAGGCCCTGGGTTCAGTCCCTGAGGCCCCCACAGGTAATTGATGATATTCTCCTAGTCTGGCCATGCTAATGCAGGAGGGGTTCCAGGGAAGGTAGGAAGCAGGGGCTGGGTCACATACAGAGGAGCTGGAGACTGKGGCATCCCTGAAAAGCWCTAGAGATCTTTAATGAAAGCAGAATTTTGTTAGGCTAAAGCTGCCCTGTTTCTGGGTATTTCATTTTCCCTGTTTGACAATTCATTTATTCATTTGGTAAGCAGCCTGGACTACATGAAGTAGAGTGTGAGTGTGAGTAGACCATGTGTTGGGGGAAGGGGGAAGAAGTGTTCAGAGAAACTATGATGGGTTTCTTGTTTCTTTCTTCTTCTCTTCCTCCTCCTTCTCTTTCTCCTTCTTCTTCTTTACCTATTATAAAAGACAAATATGTTTATCTGGAAATTTTACAGAAAATTGTAACTAAGTTCTTAGAAATGTCTAAAATTCTRCCACCCAGAGTCCCCACTGTTCTTTTACTGGAGTGCATGCCTTCACAGCACATAGACACTTGGTAAACTCAGGGTGCATCCATGGGGGAGGCTTCTCTTTGMCTCTGGAGGACCGCACTACTGTAGAGAGCTGGGACATGTACACAGATGCTGTGATCAGCGCCCTTTGAAGTGTTGTTTCCTTCACCATAAAATGAGACTTTGATTTCTATCCCCATGATTACAGGGATAAAAATGATGTATGTCAAGTGCCAAATAGTACCTGAGTTAAAACAAACACAAAACCATAAACCGTTAGGGTTTAGAAGGACTACCTGGGCTGCACCTGGGCTGCTACCTCGTGACCACAGTCCCTGCTTCCTCCCCTGCACATACTCATTGCCTGGTTTCTCCCTGTCACTCCGTGGGAATTACTCTAGCCCCAGCCCATAGCTTCTGATTGGTCAGTTCCAAGCCTTCCTATAGGTTTCATCCTTTGACCTGACCAAGTAGCTCCTACCTGGGCTCCCGGATCAACAGAGGCCTGTGAGAGTAGTAATATGAGTCTTTGAACTACTTCCAAGGTTTCAGAAGTCCCTTGGGCTTGATCGAAACATTTGTTTTTGCTTTTGGTTAGAATTCTATCAGTTAAATGTGTTAATATAGATTATCTCATGGGAATATGAATTGCATATAATAAATGTAGTTAGTTTAGCATGTATTTTTTAATATAGCCATGGGGGGTATAAGAGTAAGTTGACATCTTTGGGAAGGTAAAACTTGAAAACCATTGACCCATATTAGCTCTGTTGTGGTTTTTCCTATTAGTATCAATGTTGCCACCATCATTGACAAAGCTGGGATTTGTGAGAGTTTGAAGCCTAGTTCYCCCACTGTTCCTAGTATGACTTGGGCATTTTAGCTCATCTCTCTGAGCTTCTGTTTCCTCATCTATAAAAGTAGAATAATAATAGGATATATGTCATAGTAGTCATGARGATTTAATGAGACAGTACAAATGGAAGCTCTTAGCCTTATGCACATAGTAACCATTCAATAAATGAGTGCAGTTATCATTCTATCATCATCATAGACATCATTATCCCCCACTTTTTTTTTTGGTGTTGGGGATTGAACCCAGGGCCTCACATGCTCCACTATGAGCTACACACCCTCATCACTAATTCCAAGCTTATATAGTTCACAAAGCTGTCCCCTCTACCCCTTCTATTTTTTCCTCTCTCTTGCTCTTCTCTGAAACCCTCACCATAATTCTTTGGGACTTTTCCAATCTTGTCACCACCCCTAGCTAGTCACCCAAATTGGTTTCTGTTTCTTTATTTCCACACTCATCCTAGTGATAAGCCAGGCCCTTATCATCTCACGCCTGGACTAGTGCAGATCTGGAGAGAAGCAGGTGGATGCAAGCCCTGCCTCTGTTACCATGGAGACCACTGCTTGGTGTTAAGGGCAGGCACTCTTGAGGCAGAAGTCCTAGATGGGAGTCCTGCCTCTACTCCTTATCTGTTGGTGACCCTGGGCAAGTTATTTAGTCTCTCTGAGTCTTGGTTTCCTCAACTTGAAAGTGGGGCTGATGGGACTGGGGTTGTAGCTTGGTGGCAGAACGCTTGCCTAGCATATATGAGACACTGGGTTCTATCCTCGGCACCATATAAAGATGAATAAATTATAAAATAAAGGTATTGTGTTCATCTACAACTAAAAGAAAAAAGACTGTGCCTTGAAATAAAAGTGGGGTTTATGGCTTTCTTATAGAGTAAGGCATAAATGAAATTGTGTATGCAAAGCATGTGATAATAGCTGATATAATCACAACCTAATACTTAAGGAACACTTACTATGTGCTGGGCCCTATTTTAAGTGCTTTCCATGAACCAATTTACATAGTCCTCACAATAACCCTATGGAGTGGGTCCCTTTATTATTCCATTTTACAGAAAGGAAAACCAAGGCACGGACAGGTTAAAGATCTTGCTGAAAGTCTCACAGCTGACAGTTGGTAGCAGAGTTAGGATTCAAATCTAAGCAGTCTGGACAGAATGGATCTCAATAAAGGTTATATCCTTTCTCCTTCTTTCTACCCTTGCTTTCAAGTCTGGAGGAATCCCACCTCTCCTATTGAAACTTTTCTTCCTGGCACAGTAGAAACAGAAATTCCTCCCTGCAGCACACCGCCAGCAGTTAGGGTCCTTGATGTGCTGTCAACATCATGTCCTGCTCTGTGTACGTTTCATGGAGGTGCCTTGGTGTAGGGGTAGGCAAGGGCCCTTCCCCCACTACCCCCACCTCAAATGAGCTGCCTCACATTGATCTGTTTTGTATACTGAATATTTGTTTCAGATCAATATCTGACAGATAGCRGAGGCAAAGGCATTCTGAAGTGAAAAACATTGGACTACTGGTCTATTCCATTCATTTGTGCTCTARAATATTATCAACATCATAATTTGTGCACATACATGCCTTATCTCCACAACTAGATCATGAGTTGTTCTAAAGGGCCTGGCCTTCCCTGGCTTGGTGCTTACTCAATCTTGGATGAGCAAGAGATATACAGACAATGTCACTGTGGTCTCTAAGGCCTAGAGAAAAACAACAGCTGACCAGTGAGCCCAGTGAGCAGAGGCAGGATTTTATCTCACTCTCACTGCTCACTCTAATAACTCACAGGCAGGCTAGCTCATTCCTAGGGCTGGCCCACTCTGCAGTATACAGCAAGGGCTCTGGGTGGTCCTTTTGAAACCCAGTTTTCTTTCCTGTGGGCCTGTCCACTCTCTGTCTGCCTTCTAGATTCTAGTCCCCAAAGAAGTACTTTTTTTCTCCCTAACTCCTATTCTCTTGGGAGCAGGTGGGATAGGTGGCATTGGGCTGCCATCTGTCCCCAGATCTTGCTTTTTATTCCTAGAATTCTGGACACAGGAACCCCCTACCTGAAAGTTCTGTTTGTTTTCTTCTGTTGGCCAACTCTCTGGGCTCTTTGATCACTTTTACAACTTTGTAATTATGGGCTGTAATGGGTTAGGGTGTTTGAACATCATAGTAATTGCTTTCCACTGTTCCTACCCCAATTCTTCAAAGAGAGAGGGGTGGACAAGCAAGAAAATCTCTAAAGAAGCAAGTCTTTACTTTCCCACATGCTATTCCGGGCCAGACTGGGTCCAGGGTCTTGTCTGGGCATAGGAAACCTAAGGTCCCTACTTCATGACAACTGGAATGTGAAAGTGCCAGTAGGGTTCCCCAGCCAGGGATTCCTTTCCCTTGTCACCACTCCCTCACCCTTGCTTTGGAGGGCTCTGAAGATAAGGGAGCTTCCTTCTGCCTGGAGGAGATGAGGTAGGGTAGACTTCCTGGGCCAAATTGGATGAGGGAACAATGGAAGCTGTGACTTCTCCGCTCCTTCAATAATTCCATTCTGAAGTCTTCCTGTGAATTTCCAGTAAATTAGCCTTGGCTGGGTCCAGGCTGGGCCTAAATGCTGGTAGAGGGCCCAGCCCAGATTCTGGGAGAAGGAGAGAAGAAAGAGGGAGTTATYTTCCTAAGCAAAATGGAGCCCCATTTGAGTGTCTCCACCACCTTCTCCCACTCCCCTGCCTGCAGGCAGCTGGTTCTGAGGGGCCCCCTGGTCTCTGTCTCTGCTTGAGGAGTAGGGAGCAGGAGCAAGTAGCTGCTCCCAGCCTGCCTGGCAGGAGACCTGCCCCAACAGGCTCTCCCTGGGAAGGCAAGCAGAGATCAAAGCCCTGAGAGATGAGTAAGTCCAAGCACTGGCTCCTYTTGCTGCCACTACCACTTGCAGTAGAGTTAACTCTTTCACTGCATGCTGAAGGGCTCAGAGACTCAGCAGGGGCCTGGGATGGGAGGTCACAATCTGATACCATTAAAATGAGCCTTTGCTCTAGGGAGGAAGGCTGGAGGGTGGCTGTGCCCAGCAAGGAGACCCAACACCAGGCCAAGAGCAGCTCCCTGGCGGTGCCTGTGCCTGTAGTTGGTTGTTGGTTTGCTATTGCACCTCCATCCCACCCTTAGCTCTTATCTCCCTCTCCTGACCCCTCCACAGCCCTAGACCCCTGCTTCTTGTTCTCTTCCTGGCTCTGATATCTGCTCTTCCTGGTGGCTAGGTTCTGCTTCCTCGCCTGCTCTTGGAGTCCTTTGTGACCATGCATCTGCATGTGGACACAGTTGTGTCCTTGTGGGAGCAGCTCCTCAAGTCCCTCCCTACTCGAGTCACCCTAAAGGAGAGGATGAAGCAATAAAGCACTGGACAAGGACTCCCCTAGGTCCTGGAATTGTAGCCAGAGAGAGTTGGCAAGCTGAGAGTGCTGGGGACAGAGCCTGTGAGATGGGTTGAGGCAGGGCTTTCCACAGAGAGGAGTCGTGTGGGAACAGTGTCCCAGGCTCTCCTGCACTCTGCCTAGCAGGGGATGCCCCACAGGCTCCTCTGTCAGGAAGGGCTGGGTCCTGGAGAGTCCAGCCCTGTTCCAAAGTTCTCTGCTTTCTTCYTCTTCCTGTGTGTCCTCCTCCCAGGGGTTCCAGTCACTCATTACTTCTTGTTCTCACACCACTTGTGCCCCGAGGGCAGGGACTGTCCTTAATATATCCTTCACCCACTCTGAGTACCCAGAGCCATCACTGGGTATCCAATAAACCCTTATGTTTATTCCAGTATGAAGGGAAAGACTGAATGTTACCTTTTGAAGGTGGGACCTGGGTGGGCTCAGGGCAGGGGGTACTAGGCTCCCTGACTCCTTGCATGTGGATATGTGAGTGTGCAGAGGTGTGTTTCATCCAAAATCCTTGGAAGGGATAGATGTGCAGTCTCAGGCCTGGCCTTAGACAGTTTGTGACCCTCTCTGACTCCAGCCAAACCTCTGCTGTGTGTCTCTGTAGGCCCGGATGGCCGGTGAGCGAGGAGCCAGTGCAGTTCTATTTGACATCACAGAGGATCGAGCTGCCGCTGAACAGGTACCCAGGGACACTGGGATGTTCAAGAAGGGARCTGAATGAAGTTCCCAGGGGGAGGAGAAGTCACAACAGCCCTTGTGGACACTGTTTCCGTAGCTGCAGCAGCCCCTAGGACTCACTTGGCCAGTGGTGCTCATCTGGGGCAATGATGCAGAGAAGCTCATGGAGTTTGTATATAAGAACCGGAAAGCCCATGTGAGGATTGAGCTGAAGGAGCCCCCTGCATGGGTAAGCACACAGAACCTCCATCTTTGCCATGGCACATGTTCTTACCTCTGTTTTGTCCTGTGGCAACTCCTACCCTGACCCCTAAGACTCCTGGAGCTGAAAGAAACTCTAGAAACCCTCTGGGTCTAAGTTCATCCCTCATCTGCATGCCTTTGGGCAAGTTTCTCTCCCTCTCTGGGCCTCATCTACTGAATGAACAGGTTAGGTCCGAAGAGTTCTGAAGTTGCTTTCAACTCTGTGGTTTCATGGTGTGGAGCAGCAGAGCTTGCAGACTTAGCGCTCTGACCCATGACTCCTGGTGGGTACTTTTCCACTGGCCAGGAATCTCACCCAGCTGATCCACCTTGTAGAGGGGTCTCTTTCCTCCTTTTCCCTCAAACACATGGGTTTCCACATAGCATTTCTCATAGCTGCACCTGGAAAACCCTTTCCCATGAGTGCCCTGGGCAGAGAGGGACTGCCTAATCCCACTTCTGGTTCATGCCTTCCTTATCCCTCAGATGAGAGACTCGAGGCAACCCCTGCTCTCTGTGTGTCTTCTGTACTCTACCATTTCCTCCCAAATTGATCCATTTTCTTGTGAAGTGTTATCTTTTCCCTCTCTGTTTGCCCCCCAGCCAGATTATGATGTATGGATCCTCCTGACAGTGGTGGGCACCATCTTTGTGGTCATCCTGGCTTCTGTGCTGCGCATCCGGTGCCGCCCCCGCCACAGCAGGCCGGTAAGCAGTGTGGGCTCCCTGGTGGAGGTGGGCATGGAAGTAGGAGGGAGGGAGGGGGACTAAAAGGAGAAAGTGAGGAAGACAGGCACCTTGATGCTCATGAAACCATCCACTGACATCTAAGTACCCTGGCATCTGCTCTGTTGAATTTCTGGCAGCTTCTCCTCAGATTGCTCATCCATTTTTTCCCCAAATATATTTAGCAGCTATTATGTCAGACACTRTCCCAGTCATTAGGAAGAGCACAGTGAGAAAACCACAAAAACTAGACCCTCAAAGAGTTTTTATTCTAGTGGGAAGAGACAGACAATAGACTAAATACATAAAATAAATAAATACATAATATTTTAGATGATAGAGAAAAAACCAAAGGGGAAGAGAATACAAAATGGACAAGGTTGTTTTTATTTTTAATTATTTACATATTTATTTATTTGCAGTTCTAGGGATTGAACCCAGTGGTGCTCCACCATTGAGCTGCATCCCCAGTTCTTTCTTTTCTTTCWATTGTTGATGGACCTTTATTTTATTCATTTAATTGTATGTGGTGCTGAGAATTGAACCYAGTGCCTCACSCATGCTAGGCAAGTGCTCTACCACTGAGCCACAGCCCCAGTACCCCAGTTCTTTTTATTTTTTATTTTGAAGCAGGGTCTCACTAGGTTKCTAAGGCTGGCTATGAACTTGTGTTCCTCTTGCCTCAGTCTCCTGAGTAGCTGGAATTCCAGATGTGAGCCACCACTCTTGCCTCTGTGATAGGCAAGACTAAAAAAAGAGAAACCAAATGGAGGCTATTACAGGAATCCAGGTGATAGTAATGGTGGCTTAGATTAGGGAGGTAGCAGTGAAAGTGGTAAGAAATAGTTATTCTGGGTATATTTGATATATTTTGAAGGCAAATCCAACAGGTTTACTAAAGGCTTAATGTGAGTTATTGGTGTGTGTGTGTGTGTGTGTGAGAGAGAGAGAGAGAGAGAAAGAGAGAGAGAGAGAGAGAGAGAGAGAGAGAGAGAGAGAGAGAAAGTCAAAGATGGCACCAGGATTTTTGGCCTGAGCAATTAAAATAATGGGATTGCCATTTATAAGATGGAAAAGATTGAGGGAGGACAGGTGTGAGGATGGGGGTGGTTAATTAGGACTTCAGTTTGGGACATATTAAATCTGACATGTCTATTAGATATCCAAGTTACAATGTCAAGCAGTAGTTAGTTAAGAAAGTATCTATCATGGGTCATCAGAGGAAGAAAAATTTAATGAAAGAAGGTAGGCAGGAGCTCTGAAGGGATAAACTCCCAAGGGTGGCCAATTGACCATATAATCTAACTGGATGACTGGGAACTAAGTCCAAGCTAGTGCCCATGCAGTGGGTGAGGAAACAGAATACTTTGCCCCATTCTGAGTCCCACTCCTCTTCCTAGGACCCCCTTCAGCAGCGAACAGCCTGGGCCATCAGCCAGTTGGCCACCAGAAGGTACCGGGCCAGCTGCAGGAGGGCTCAGGCTGAGCGGCCAGACTCAGGTAGCAGCTGTAGCTCAGCCCCTATGTGTGCCATCTGCCTGGAGGAGTTCTCTGAGGGCCAGGTAAGGCGGGCCTGTGGCTCACCTGCATGACCAGGTAGGGAGGCAGATTGAAGCTAGGGTGGGAACTAGGGTGGGAGCGGACAGGCCTAGAACTGGCATCGGTGCTCTGGCTATGTCTGTGTCTTGTGTATCCTGCATGAGACAGAAGCAAGGGACTTCTCTGAGATTTGGTCACTTTCCTGGAGAAGAGCACCATTGTTTGTGGAAAGAGAACCATGCACCAGACCACAGTGGTACTTTAGATGCATTATCTCATTTAAGCCTCATGACAGTGAAAATTGAGGTAGATTTGTCTTTTATCCTCATTTTGTAGCAGAAAACTGTTAAGAGACTTGCCCAAAGTCATGCAGCTAAGTGGCAAAACCCAAATCCATATGAAACCAAAGACCACACCCTTTCATTCTCCTGTGAGGTCTTTTGTGATGAGGTGAATGYAGGAAAGAAAGGCCGATGGGAACTGATGGGAATCTGGGAATCGAGGGATCTCCTCCTGGTCCTGGCCCCTCCTATGATTTGGACACTTTTGTTTTCTCCAGGAGCTTCGGGTCATTTCTTGCCTCCATGAGTTCCATCGCTCCTGTGTGGACCCCTGGCTACATCAGCATCGGACTTGTCCCCTCTGCATGTTCAACATCGTAGGTAGGAGCTGGGCCAAGGACTCCCATGTGCAGGCAAACAGGTCTAGAATGTGGCTTCACTCTGGGAAAGGGTTTCTGCCATGAAGCTGAAGAGGAAGATCTGTCATGGTAGTCATTTCAGTTGTTCACTGCTTAAGAGCACCTCATGGACAGGAGGGAGTACATTCAGATAGTAGAYATCTTTATTATCTTAAAATTTGTTTGAAGTTTATAATAACCTTTTTGATTCTAAATCTGGGTGATTTGCGTATTTACTGTTCCAATTTCAATAATGTACCCTATTCTAAAAAAAAATCCAGTATATATGACAATTTTCTAAAAGATGAAAGTGAAATAAATATCTTAAGGAAAGAGAACCTTTTGCTAATCCACCCAAAGGTACAATATGGGATATCAGTGGCCCTGGGGGAAAGAGTCCCAAATTACTAGTGGGAAGAGCAGGGATTGACTACATGGTAGGACTCCCAGGGCAATCAGCCTGACTGGAAGTAGCAAAGGAGCCAGGCAACGTAGGGACATCCTTGGTCCCCCAAATTCTGAGCTCACAGGCTATGCAAGCTCAAATAGGTTTGCTACAGCCACATCTTTATCATTTCAACCTTCATATGGGTTTATGGTATCAAACACCTGTGCTTTTGGTTCTTTTTTCCAGAGGGAGATTCATTTTCCCAGCCCCTTGGACCCTCTCGATCTTATCAGGAACCAGGCAGGAGACTCCACCTCATTCGCCAGCATCCTGGCCATGCCCACTATCACCTCCCTGCTGCCTACCTGTTGGGCCCTTCTCGGAATTCAGGCACTCGGCCCCCTCGACCTAGACCCTTTTTACCATCCCAGGAGCCTCGGCACCAACGTATCCCCAGAGCTGCACATCTCCGGGCTGCAGGTGAACAACAGCGTCAGGCAGTGGCTCAGCACCCCTATGCTCAGGGATGGGGGCTGAGCCACCTCCGATGCACATCTCAGCACCCCACATCTTGCCCAGCGCCTCTGCGCCGGGCTAGGCCTCATGACAGCAGCGGGTCTGGAGAAAGCTACTGTACAGAACGCAGTGGCTACCTGGCAGATGGGCCAGCCAGTGATTCCAGTTCGGGGCCCTGTCATGGCTCTTCCAGTGACTCAGTGGTCAACTGTACAGACATCAGCCTGCAAGGCATCCATGGCAGCAGCTCTACCTTCCGCAGCTCCCTGAGCAGTGACTTTGACCCCTTGGTGTACTGTAGCCCTCAAGGGGACCTACAGGGGGAAGAGATGCAATCCAGTGTGACCTCTCGGCCCCGTTCCTTGGACTCAGTAGTGCCCACTGGGGAAACCCAGGTTTCTAGCCATGTCCATTACCACCGGCACCGACACTACCACTACAAAAAGCGGTTCCAGTGGCATGGCAGGAAGTCTGGCCCAGAAACTGGAGTCCCCCAGTCCAGGCCTGCTTTTTCTCGGACACAGCCTCAGCCAGAACCACCTTTTCCTGATCAGCAAGTCACCAAATCCAACCCAGCAGCTCTTTCGGGGCAGCCCTCCAATCCACATCGGCCCAGGGCCCTCACAGAGCCAGCTTCTGACCCACCTGAAGCTGCCAGTTCCAGCCCCAGTTCCCCTGGTCTTTTAAACTTGCAGAAATCCAGTCTCACTGTTCGACATCCACAGAGAAAACGGCGGGGTGGTCCCTCAGATCCCACTCCAGCCTCTCGGCCTCAGGATTTGACTGTGCACCCGGCTTGCCAGATGTTCCCGCATTACAGCCCCAGCCTGGCATACCTTTGGCCCCCAGAGGCCCACCCGTTGGTCTTTAGACCTCCAGGCCTGGATAGGAGGTTGCTACCAGAAGTTCCAGGCCCCTGTTACTCAAGTTCACAGCCAGTGTGGTTGTGTTTGACTTCACGCCAGCCCTTAGGTCCTCACCCACCTGGGGAGGGGCCTTCCGAATGGAGTTCTGACACCCCAGAGGGCAGGCCATGCCCTCACCCACACTGCCAGGTGTCGCCAGCCCAGCCAGGTGAGTTTTCAGGGGAAGTAGATGTGGTGGGGAGAGGGGACTAAAGCTGGGATTCCAGGACAGGTGAAGTCAGTCAACAAGGGTTTATGGAAGCTGAGAAGTCTACAACAGAGGTGACATTCAAAATATGGAACAACTGGCATAGCATATGATGTTGTTAGAGTACCCTGACTCTGCCAAGTGCTATCCCTTTAGTTGCCAGATCATAGGGAAGCCCCAGAGGAGGTACTACTGTGGCTGAGACATGAGAAAGGCAGTTGGGATGGTTTAGGGCAGCAACTCAAACCTAAGTGTTTAATAATCTGATAATTGGTACAGCTCTACCAAAGCCACAGCTCAACATTAGCTCTACATATGAAGAAGGCCTTGGGGAGACCATGGTCTTATAGAAAAAAATACTTACAGATAACCATAACACTAAGCCATATAGCTACATGAATGATGGAGGAAAAAATGTAGAAATCATATAGGTGGTTCCCAGCCACCCTGGGAATCCTCAGGTTTTGGTAAAAGAATGTTACAGCTTCCCTATCAAGTACCTTTTAAATAAGACCAAACTCATTTTCTTGTGGACTCAGTGAATCCCTATGTTATAACCAGTGGTGACAATGTAAATCCTCAGCTTTAAACTGTGGATATTTATTTGCCTGAATACTCCTCTTCCCCTTTCAGGCCCTCTACCTCCCATACTTCCCCACCTTCTCCCATTGTGTATGATATAGCTCTTTGTCTATAGTCATCTCTGGAATTCTTTCACCTCAAAAGAGGACCTAAATATCCTAAAATGTAAAGCCTCATAGTCTAGGAATCCTATAGGCAGAACCTGAGAGCTGCTGTCATTCATTTATTCACTTCCTCTCTCCTTTTTTCCTTCTGATTTCATGCTTACTATGTGCCAGCCCCTGAGGACATGGAACTTGCCAGCCAGGGAATCCAGGTCTGTGGGAAGACAGGCATACAAATAGTTATAGTATATAGGATAAATCACTTCCATAGAGCCATGTGTGTGGTGATTCCATACTGATGGCCCCTGTCCATGTCTTAGGTCCAGCCTGAAGATCAATGCAGAAGCCCTCCCCAGGGTCATGAAGGCTGCAGCCGCATATCCAGTGTTGTGCAACACAGCTCCCCTGCTCCTCTGTCTTCTATACTGTTGCCAGGGTCATCTGCCTTACACAGAACTGTCTAGAAATCTTCAAATGTTCTGTCTACAGTAAGGAAAACTCCAACAACCTGGTTTGGCCTTCATGAATCCAACACCAACTAGCCCATCTTCCCAACCTAATTTTCCACTTTTTCCCTTCCCTTCTCTTGCCAACTATACTTTAGTCAAACTGGAAAATCACTTCTTACAGTTCTTGCACCCCAGAATATCCTGCTGCCTTTCCTTTTCCTGTAAGTTTAATTCTCATCTATTCTTGTAAAACCAACTCATGTATCTTTATTTCCAGGAAGCCTTTCTGATTGCTGCACTTGGACGTGGTCTCTCCCTTTTCTCAATGCATCTCTTGTAACCCCAGTCCTGTCCTACTGGCATAATAGCCATTTGCATGCATGCCTTCTCTCCTGTAAGGGTGTCAGGTCCCTGCTTATTGTTTTGGGTCTTCTATTTGGCAAATGGTAGCAGGCCAAATTCACAGTGAATGCTTAATAAATATTTATTGGGTGAATGAATGAATAGTAAGTATTGATAACACACTGGTTGCTGTATGTGTTTCTCTAGATTTGTTTTTTCTCTCCTAGTTTCCCAACAGAGCCCTCTCAGCTTTCAGTCTAATCACCTTTCCAGAGCTATTCCCTGATCTTCCTTTTTGTGCAGTTCCTTCCCAGCCACACTCTCCACAGGTGGGAGAAGCAGGATCCCATCCTAATCCATAATGACCTCTTCCTCCCTTCTCTCCACATATAGGATCAGAGGAGGAGCTTGAGGAGCTGTGTGAACAGACTGTGTGAGATGGTCAGGCCAAGCTCCAACCAAGAGTGTGCTTCAGTCATTTAGACTCCTACCTGGCACGAAGTCCACTTCTGGGAGAAGAAAGGACCTCAGCAAACACCCCCCTTTTTGCCATACTTCCTGTAACCACTAGGAGAGGAATGGTGATATGGGGGTAGGGGGCTACTGTTTCCAGATCCTGGCTCTAGGTATTGTCTGCAGTGCAGAGAGCCTGTGTCCAGCCAGGCAGCCTGCTTCTACCTGTGTGCATTTGTGGGCTGGATCCAGTGCTGAGCTGTCGAGGGAAGGAAGCTGGGGTGGGTAGCTAGGTGTCACAAAGGTGCTGCTCCTTCCCCCAGCCCTGCTCATTCTCCCTCCCCAGGCCTCATGTTCATACCAGCCAATGCATTCAGCTGAATGCATGACCCTTCTCACCTCCTGCCTTGAGTGATCTCTGCACATGAGCTTTGGCTCTTCTCTGGAAGGCCACAGCATCAGGGGCAACCCCTAGTTTTCTTATTTTCCTTCTTTACAAAAGGACGAGGAGCATAGGTAACCCCTAACCCCTAAAAAGGGAGGTCTCTGCAGCTTTTCTAGGCAGTGCATAAGGAAGAATATTTTCCCCTTCTTGTCCTTGAATTGTTCTTAAWATGGCAGATCCACAATATTAAGTCAGAGAGATGCTCTGGGAACCCAGGGCATAGAGTTCTATCCTGAGGTGGGAGCAGCTCCTTGAAGAATGTGGAATGAAGCTTTTGATCTTCCAACTCCCTCTATCAGCCCAGTTCCTCAGGGGATGGAGGAAAGGGAGAGGGAATGACTCTTCCTTGAAGATCTTCTGTTTCAAAGACCCAAAACAGGCAAAAAGGAGAGAATTTCTGATTGACTTTGGGAAGGAGGAGGATGGAATGAAGGTGGAAAATACAAAATTACAGCTGAGAAAAACAACCAAGAGTTCTTCTCTGAGAGAAGTTTTGTCTCAGAACAGGGATGGGGAACAGGGGAAAACAAAGGAAGAGCAAAGTATGACCCCTTAGGTTTGGAGGGCCCAGAGGCCCAGCTCCTCAGTATAAGCCATGTAGGCCAGGGACCAACCAGAAGGTGTGCACCCAAGTAGAGCTGGAGTAGAAAGTTGGCCTGGGTATCTTGTACTGAATGAGCAAGGGCTGGGGGACTTCCTGAGGGTGACATTCACTTCAGGACATTCTGATCATTTCTAGTCCCTCAGGCTTTATCCTTGCCTAGAATGTGAATGTGGGGGCAAAATGGGCACGGGATTCTACTTGGTAATGTTCTTCCCTCAATGTCAGCGGGGAGACTAGCACCTAGGCACCCACATGGGTATTTATATCTGAACCAGACAGAAAGACGCTTGAATCAGGCACTATGTTGAGAAATGTATTTATTTGCTAATATATTTATCCATAAATGTGGTCTGGTCTTGGGTTTTATTTTGTCATGACTCACTCAGGGTAACAATTTCATCTTTCTACATGGAGAGAAATAAATTATTTCTGATATCAGAGGCTAGTCTCTGATTTACAAAAGGCTAGTGTAGAGTGATAGGCTTGTCAATAACAGATTTTTTTTTAATTTATTTTTTAGTTGTAGTTGCACACAATACCTCTATTTATATGTGGTGCTGAAGATCGAACCCAGGGCCTCGCACATGCTATGCGAGCGCTCTACCACTGAGCCACAACCCCAGCCCCAATAACAGATTTTTTAAGCCCCTTAAAAGCATGGCATCAGGGAAGAAGAGGGCATGCATGGATTCTCATTATGGTTCAGTCACTAGTTATCTGTATTATGGTTCACTTCACACTTTAATTTAGGATGCTTCAATGACTTACTTTGTGACTTTAGGCAAATATTCAGAGCTTCATTTTTTTTTCCATAAAATGGGCATACTTAGGCTGGGGTTGTAGCTCAGCGGTAGAGTGCTCGCCTTGCACGTGGGAGGCCCTGGGTTCTATCCTCAGCACCACATAAAAATAAATAAAATTAACGTATTGTGTCCAGCTACAACTAAAAAAAAAAAAAATTTTTTTTTAAATGGGCATACTTCATAGTCAATATAGGGTGTACACAAGACAGCAGAGTAAAAATGTGTTCAGGGAACATTCAGAAACAGAAAACAACCAGACCCCAGTCACAGATCCCATCTGGACACAGCATGGGACAGAAGCAGGCAACAAGAAGCAGGTCTGCCTTGAAGAARCTGTTTCAATAAGGAGGCCAGCCGCAAGGATAGAACAGAAGGGCCTGAAACTATTTATATCCTGAAGCTCCAATTCAGATAAACACAAATGCCTGTGCTCTGCCTACACACCAGAGAGCTGGTGCTTTGTATGAAGAATTCCCCAGGGTCAGGAGGAGCTTTGGCTCTCTTCCTCACACTGCACAATTCTTTTGCTTCTCCCAGAAGATTTGGTAAGGGTGCTAGTTGCCTAGTTTAGAAAGAGAGAAAAAGACATTTAACTTCCTTTAGGGTGCGATGGGGAAAGAAAGACACCTAATCTATAGATGTTCCTAAGTAAAGGAATTGTCTAAATTTTACTAAGAGCTGTACAAAGTATAAATTATCAGCTGGGACGCACTAGCGTAGTCTTTAAGCATTTCCCGGCTTTCAGCTCACAGGCCAGCATTCCTGTGGACGGCAAATGGAAACCCTATAGTGCTCTCTCACAGTTAGGGAGGAGGGTGGGGCAGCCTGTGCATTTATTTTCGGTCTCTGCAGAGATAATCCAGAGACATGGATTTTTCTTTATTTTTATTTTTTGTGATGCTGAGAAGGAACCCAGGGCTTCCAGCATGCTAGGCAATCCTCTACCACTGAGCTACAGCCTCTGTCCTGCTCCTGCGCTTTTAAAACAGGAAGACAAAAAAAGAATCTGGGCTATCTTCGGGGAGCCTTCTAAGGGAACCATGGCGGGGTTCCAGCGGCCTACATTAAATGGCCCGCGCGGCAGCACTCACGCTCTGGCTCGGCGAGCTTCCGCGCAGGCGCCAACCCCGCCCCTCGGGGCCAGCCGACGGGCCCAACGGCCGCCTCCGAAGGCCGCCGCGCGGCCAGGTGGCRAGGCGCGCGCCGGCCCAGGTGGCTGCCGGCCGCCCCACCTCCGCTCCCCGGCGGGAGAAACCATCTCCTCAGGCGGGGGGGGAGGGGCGGGGCCGGCGCCCTCCTACACCGGAAGAGGAAGTCGGGCCCCAGAAGTGACAGGCATTCTGGGTAGTGAGCTGTTTACTTCCTGCGGTGTGGAGGCTGTGGTCGYGTACCCTGTTGTTCTTCGTATCCGAGAGGATGGCTTTGGAGACTGTGCCCAAGGACCTGCGGCATCTGCGTGCTTGTCTGCTGTGTTCTCTGGTCAAGGTATCTGTCGGGGTCCTGGATGTAGGGRCGACGTGGGGGAAGAAGGGGAAAGTGGGATGAGACTGGTGACAGGGGAAAGAAATGTCCAGGACCCCGAGAGATGGCCAGGGGAGTGGGAATTCGAAGGACGCCGTTGTTTACGTCCTGAGAACGCGAGCAAGTCTTGCCCCTAAGGGTACGGGCTGTCTAAAATGCCTCAGGCGTGGCTCTACAAACGTGCTGTGAACTTAGGTTGGATCCGAAAGACCCTGGGAGTCAGAAGACTGGGAATCTGCAGCTGAGGGTGCCTGGCCCAGAGGAGACTAGAGAAAGGAAAGATCAGCCGGAATTGGGAACAAGAGAGGGAGGAGTGTGAGAGTGGAATTTGGGAATGGTGCCTTGGTTCCCTTAGGTGGGGAACCTGTTGAGACAACTTAGAGAACCAAGAAGTTGACCAGGTGGAAAGTATTGAGAAAACTACTTTTTCTTTTGTTGTCCTTTTTTTAAAAATTATTATTTTCCACTGCTTAGACAATAGACCAGTTTGAATATGACGGTTGTGATAATTGTGATGCATACCTACAAATGAAGGGTAATCGAGAGATGGTATATGACTGCACCAGCTCTTCCTTTGATGGGTAAGCTCCTTCAGATTCCTTAATTCATTTCTTTTTGGGTCATCTTGCCCCACCCCCACCGCGTCCAGAGTTCATAGGGCAGGCTTTTAAGGTAATAATCCCTAGTTGGTTTCAACCGTTATTTTGAGGTACACTAGTCCCATATATCCACTAACTTCATGGGCCTACTGGCATTTGAAATGTGGCTCATCCAAGTGAACATTTGATTTAAGTATAAAATATACACCAGATTTCAAGGACTTAGCATAGAAGAAAGAATGTAAATAATCTTAATTTAAAAAATTAATTACAGTGCTTAAATGATAGCTCTAGATGTATTGGGGTTAAGTGAAATATTGAAATTTCATCTTTTAGTATTCACTCTTAAGATGTGACTACTGGAAAATATAGAATGATGTGTCTTTATTGTATTTCCATTGAACACTGCTTTACTAGATGGTCAGATCATTCATAGTGGGGACTGAATTTATCTTGTGCAATATTACATGGCCCAGAAGGTGGTAGATGTTTATTGTATGTTGAGCACCTTGAGGTAAAGTGCGTGCTTAGCATGCATGAGGCCCTGGGTTTAATCACCCAAAAGAAATACCCCATTGAATACATAAAGATTCTTTTTGACAGTAAAGCAAAAGGAAGGGAAAATAATGGTAGATTATTGCCCCAAAGCTGATTACCTTAAAGAAGTCCTAGAAGAAGAGTTTTCCTTTGGCAAAATTGACCATTGGGGAGAAGTGGAAGGGAGAGAAGCATACTAAGTAGCTAGATCTTCTTCCTCAAAATAGTAGCCAGAAGATCATTTTCTCTGGGGGCTAAGGAGGTACTATTAAGTACTTGCTGAAGTTCTTTTAAGGTGGGCCAGCTCCATTTCTTCTTTGATTTCCTTTAGCGGGGAATAAGAATTGGTCAAAAAAAGATGTTAGCGTAGAACCTTTACTTTCTATGATGCATATGACACTCAAGATACTCTGGCATCCTTTTTTTTTTTTTTTTCTTTAAGCATGATATTGTTTTATTCTTGTTCCTTAAATAATTCTTAAAAACTTTGTTTACTCTGGCATCCTTACTCRTTTGTTAGCACTATACCATTCAGTGCTAACAAAGTAAGGGACTCACATCTTTGTGTAACATGCCATGTTAGCTGCTGTGAGAGATGTCACAAGTTACTAGTAAGAGAGATACAATGTGAAGTTTTACCAATTTAACCATTTTAAGTATRCAACTCAGTGCCATTAGTGCGTTCACATTGTTGTATAACCGTCGTCGCTATTGTTCATCTCTAGGACTTTTTTCATCTGTGCCARTGAAACACTAACTTCCCATTCTCTGTTCCCAGAATGGTCTCTAGACTTGAATTATATCATGTCTTTTGTGGCTGGCTTATTCAACATTTAGCATGTCTTCAGGGTTCATCCATGTCATAGCATGTGTCAAATTTTCCTTCCTTTTTAAAGCTGAATAATATTTCATTGCATGCGTATATAAATTTGTTTATCCATGCATCTTTATGTGGTCTCTTGGGTTGCTTTTACATTTTGGCATTTGTAAATAATACTTCTATAAGAATCAATGCACAAATACATGTTTAGGTCCCTGCTTTCAGTTCTTTGGGGRTTTATATCCAGAAATGGAATTGCTAGATTATATGATAATTCATTGTTTAATTTTTTTTTTAAGGAATCAAAAAACAGCGCTGAAGTGTTCCATATCCTTGCCAGTCCTTGTCATGTTTTTTTTGTTGTTGTTTGTTTGTTTTTATACTAGCCTTTCTGAGAGTTTTTTTTTTTTTTTTAATAATAGCTATCCTGGTGGATATGAATTGGTATCTGGTGGTTTTGATTTGCATTTCCTTAATGATTATTGTTGTGGAACCCCTTATATGCTTGTCTGTTTAGATCCTTTGCCTCTTTTTTAAACAATGGGGATTGAACCTAGGGACTCTTACATGATAGGCAATGGCTCTGTCACTGAGCTATACCCTCAGCTTGCTGTCCTTTTTGGAATCTGGTTGATTTTTGTTTTTGTTGAGTTGTAGGAATTATATGTTCAAGAGCATATTGGTTTTTAAAAGAGTAGGCAAATCAAAGGCTAATAAAGATCAGAGGAAGTTTGGATGAGTAAAGGAGATAGCACTCTTTCCTCTTAAAGACAAGAAACAGGATTTTTGAGAAATTTGAAGTGGAGGGTTAGAAAGAACACTTCAAATACAAGGAGTGACTGGAACAAAGGCATGAGGTAGGAAAAGTCAGGGATGTTTGGAAAACTGAGAATTCTGTATAGGTAACATTTGTTGGGTAATAGGATAAGGATAGATTTGTGAAAGACAAAGGAAAATATACTTGTGGGAGGATGGCCTTCATACATGCCCATCCCAGATCAGTCTGCAGGGCCAGTTAGCTGTTCTTCTGCTTTTCAACCCTGGAAGTGAGGTCAGTTCTACTCAAAGCACAGGTGAAAATGTAGGATTTGGATGAGAAGGGAGTCTCCCCTAAAGTAAAATCCAAGATTGTTACTAAGAGAACAGGAAATGCATATGGAGGAGGCAATCCACAAACATAAGCACCTAGAGCAGACCTGACATGATAGGCAGTCATTTGATTGAATGCATGGATAACAACAATTACCTCAATAGCTTCTGGTAGCAGCTGATTCTGATCTTTCTTGCCCAAATAGTGGACTTCTAGCCCTTGAATAGTCTTTTTGTTAGCCATGCTCTGGAATTGGAGCTACCTGGGAAGGCCTTTTAGTATAATAAGAGCTAATGCTTATTTAGCACCTGTTCTGTGATAGTGTGTGTAGTATAGTATATGTTTTCCATGAAATTATCTCAACCTTTGAGTCTYATCTTACTGATGAGATTCTGTGAGAGGTCTTCATATGCACTCTAGCTGCTCAGCTCATTGGAGGAGGGGCTTGGCCAAGTATAGCTCATTTCTGGTAGGAGGATCCATTGTTTTGATTCACTCTCCCCTTTGTACTTGGCCTAGCCCCCTAGTGGTTGTGTTGGTTGTAATCTGTAATACTGGCCATCCACTGCTAAAGCTGTCCCATCTCCTGGGAATTTGTAAGCTCAAGATTATTTTCCTTTTTTTTTTTTTTTTTTTTCTGGGTGCAGTATTGATTGGGATTGAACTCAAGGCCTTTTACATGCTGGGCAAGTGCCCTACCATTGAGCTGCATCCCCAGTCCCTAAGGATGTTTTTGAGCCTGGTGAAATTATCTTTTGGGAATAGTAATTGACTTCTTACTGGCAAGCCAGGGATATAAAAACAAAGAATCTGTTGATACTAGCTCTGTATCACCCCTTCCCAGCATTAGAATTCAGTTTCCCCTGCTTTCCAACAGAAACTCAACACCTGGCTTCTCCTAGTATTGCTTTTCCAGGACTATTTTGCTGGCTGAGCAGCTCACTTGGTCTTCCTCCTCTCTAGCAAGGGAGGCTCAGAATGACACTGTTTCTTTTCTCTCCCTAGAATCATTGCAATGATGAGTCCAGAGGACAGCTGGGTCTCCAAGTGGCAGCGTGTCAGTAAGTGTCTCCCATTCTCCCTATCCTGGCTTATGTGGTATTGGTACTGTGCATCAGGGCCAGCAAGATACTTAAATAGCAAGGTCTGCGGCCCCAAGGTGGGAAAGATAGTGTAGGAAAATCCAGGAAGCCATAATACAGGACATATACCTGTAGCCAAAAGAAGTGATGGCTCATCTCTTGAGTGGTGACACTTCTCTTGTGTTTAACTCAAGCCTTCATTTAGTCTTAACTCACTCCCACTGCAACTTCCTTTCTTCTCTTTCAGGTAACTTCAAGCCAGGTGTATATGCAGTGTCTGTCACTGGTCGTCTGCCCCAAGGTAATAACAATCATAATGACAGCTAGTGTTCATTTATTGTACCAACTGCTGCAGAAGTCAGTCTTTTTTTTTTTTTTTTTTGAGTTGGGGTCTTGCTTTGTTGCCCTGGCTAGTCTCATACTTGAGGGCTGAAGTGATCTTGAGTAACTGGCACTACAGGTGTGTAGTACCATACCTATCTGGGAAGTCAGTCTTTTAGGTGAATTAACAACAATCTTCTTAACTCTTAAGGAGCTCTACATTTTACAGATGAACTGAAGCACAGAGAGATAAATAACTTGCCCAGTTTCATCCAAGAATTCTGGTTACAGGCATTTGTTGTTTTTTGTTTTTTTTTGTTTTTTTTTTTTCTCCTTACTGAAACAAGGCCTCAAAAAATTGGTTTAAGACTCAGAGTTGTTGTTGTTCTCCATGGAAATTTTTTCTTTTTAATATTTATTTTTTAGTTTTATGTGGACACAATATCTTTAATTTATTTTTATGTGGTGCTGAGGATCAAATCCAATGCCTCATGCATGCCAGGCAAGCGCACTACCTCTTGAGCCACATCCCCAGCTCCCTCCATGGAAATCTTTTGTAATTGAAAGATTTATGCAATCTTAAGAGAAACCAGAGTATCAGGCATTTGTTTTTGATTGACTACATGAGTCCCTCTTTTTCTTCTAATTTCTTACCTGGTCAATGTTTGCCAGGACTTGCCTGGATCTTCATTGGTAAGAAACCAACAAAGCAGGACTCATCGATGAGCAGTCTAGGAACTCCAGTTTGCTTATAGCTCCCCTCTCAGGTGTCAGATAAGGACCTTTYTTCGCCTACTATATCTTCCCTCACAGAGCTGTTTCTTTTCTTGCCACAGGAATTGTGCGAGAGCTGAAAAGTCGAGGAGTGGCCTACAAATCCAGAGACACGGCTATAAAAACCTAGCAAGATTCAGGCTGCCAGCATCTTTTCTGTCCACCTCCTTCCTCTGCTTATTTTTTGTTGTGGAACTAAACAGGAAGAACTTCAAATACTACTTGCCCTCCAACTCTGAGAATGAACAGACAGTTGAGAGAGTAGCACATCCTTTCTCCACCATTTCACCTTGGGATAGTGGTGGAGATGGAGGGGTTGGGGCTGGAGGGTTCACAGAGACTGAATTGAGGGGAAAGGATGCTGGTATTCCTGCTCACACCCTGGGCTGTGCTTTTGCCCATGGGCAGTACTTTGAGTTAAATTCCAATTAACATGAACCACTGGAAAATTCTTAAAACTATGACACATGGCTTGCCTCCCTCTCCCTTTCTTTCAGCTAGGCACAATAAGGGCTCACTTGCCTGGTAAGCACCATCCAGCACAATAAAGGCTCTTCTGCTCTTGTCACCTGTTTCTGGGCTTCAGAAGTGCAGCCTTCCCAGCATACTTGCTTGAGTTTCATTGGAAGGTCTGCTGTTCTGTGGCACAGTAACCCCTCAGTGTAGTCCCACTGTCTAGTGCTTATGTCTTGCCCTCTAGACCTGTCATATCAGTCTCTTGAAATCTTGAGGCTTAGTGTTCTTTGCTCCTTGACTTTGTTTAATACTGCTTCTTTTCCTTCTTTGTCTCTTTATATTTACTGATCTACCTATACTTTTGGCTAGTCTCATCGTCATTTTACATTCCCCTCTCTGGAGACCTTCCAGCCTCAAGTGGCTGCTGGGTCTTGTCTGGGAGTTTGTGCCTCTGTGGGAAGTTGGCCTTTCCTTCTCTAACATGGTAGGGTGCTTTGGGTAACTACAAGGGCCAAGGTGAGTTACCTGTTTTAAAATTAAAAAATTACCATAAACTCATTTATTTAAGTTTCCACAGAAATCCTATTAGTATCCCCATTTTGATATAAGTTCATCCATAAAGTGACTTAAGTGATTATACTCTGTTTACTTCAAGATTCTTGTGATCAGAAATGAAGCAATGTGCTAGGCATGGTGGCACATGTTATAATGAGGCAGGAGGATCACAGGTTCAAAGTCAGCCTCAGCAACTTAGGTTGTAAGCTACCTAGTGAGACCCTGTCTCAAAATGAAAAATAAAAGGCTAGGCATGTGGCCCAATGGTTAGGCACACTTTGGTTCAACCTCTGGAACCAAAAAAAAAAAAAAGATGAAACAGTGTAAAAATTCTAGAATGTAAATCTTACAAAAAGCAAAATTCCTGTGTTCTTTGCTTATTATTCATTTTTTTTTTTTTTTAGTGTATACAATATGTGCACATAATCAAAATAGTTGTGGGCGGGGATGTATGAAGTGATGCCTRTAACCACAACTGCAGGGTGACCTCTGACTCACTAGCAGAGCTGCCTGCACCAGGCTTTGTGTCCCTTAGCCACCTGGTGTTGCTAGTGAGTCAGTTTTGGATTTACCTGTGACCCTGCCTGAGAAAGAAGAGAAATGCTGACTCTAGTGTCTGTCTTCCTCCACACTATGTTTGTCCCCTCTTAGGCTTGTGGGATGATTGCTGGGACTGATCAGGCCACTCATATCCACTCCCAGGTTCTCCTCAAACTGGAACCATTTCACTAGTGCCATCAAGTTCTGAGGGAATGGTCTATTAACCTCATTTTCCAAATTCGGCTCTATGGGTATATATTTCTCTCAGTTGGAATTCAATCTGAAAGGAGCTTTGGTCAGCAACCCTGCCAGGACACAGCTTACATGAAGTGTAAGCTTCCTGAAGTGAAGAAGTGGGATTTGGCAAGAGTGCCTAGGCTGTGCAGCCAACCCCCAAACTTTCACTGGTTTTCTCAAAAAGTCCCTTGGAAAGTCCCAGCTGCCGTCCTAGGTGTCTGACCCGGACGTGGCTGCTTAGTGAGAATGGAAACAGTTGTGGGGAGAGAAGGCAGGAGGAGCTGTGCACAAATAACCACACGTGGCTACCTCAGTCCCACACTAAACTGGGTGCTGCTAATCTTGCAGGAAGTGAAAGACMGGCACTAATGGTTGTGGGGGAAGGGGCTTGTTTCAGCTCTGCCTGGGAGTTGCTTCTGAATCACTTTCTTGCCTTCTCTGGTACTTGAATAGTGCAGATTAAGATGTAGGAGTCCCATCCTGTAGCGGGAGCCCAAAGAAACTAAGATGGACTTGGTTCCAGGCTCTCTGAGGGTGAGTGGTGCTGGTACTGCTGCCCTGAATTCCAYAGCCATGAAGGCTCCATCCTGCCCATTGTGTCTGTTTTGGCTCCACTCCATAATCTGGGGTTCTGAGTCTGCCCAGGATATTAAGATCTCTTAGGCTCTTGCTTTTAGTACTTTGATCTCCTTCAGAAGGGCAAGATTCCTCAATTCAAGACAGACAAATCATATCAGAGACTAGAAATAGTAGGCAGGTTACTTTCCCCTTGCCTGCCTATTCCTCATTTACCTACCAAGTGCTGTTCAGTTAGGGTCTCCTCAGAAAAGAATGGCAGTGCACTGGGGACTACAGCCACCAGCCCAAGGAGGAACTGATAGCTGATAGATTAAGGGTCAGAACATTCTGGTCTTGGAAGAGAGGGGCTGATGAGAATCTAAGCTCAGACTGGGCTCATCAGGTTTGGGGACTGAGCCCTTGCACTTGGTGTGGCCTGTAACTTCCAGCCTGTCCACAATCTGCTGCTTAATCTTCATGTCCCTTCCCTGATGTCTGATCTCTGCATAAAAAAAGAGGCAGGTATGTAATGRGAAGAACAGACTAAAAATATGTTGTCCGGAAATCTGGTTCATGTTTAGTATCAGTAAAACCTTTTGTGTAAATAGTATTTTGCAGTTGACAAAGGGCTTTCACATTCTTTGTCTCATTTGATCCTCACAAAACCCCTGAAACAGTTAATAGCCTTATTTAGTGATGAGGAAACAAGTTCAGAGAGTTGATTGGCCTAGCCATGATTAACTAGTGGAGCGGAGCGTTAGCTCAAGAAATAGAATGCCCACACCCAGTTGAGAGCTGCTGGTTCCCCATAATTATCCCCAAACACAACACTTTGTGAGAGTTCCACAGAACCAGTGTGAGGCATTAGTTTTCTGTTAAAACATTGTCCTTACACACTGAATCCCCACCAACCACCCTACTCTCAATACCTCTATTTCCCTTTTTATCCAAAGAGGGAGAGGCAGTGGGGGTAATGGCCCAGGGAGGAGATCTTTAGGACTACTCMAGGGTCCAGCCCTTCATTTTCCTGGCTGCATCTTCTCCATTCCAACCTTCTTGGACACTTGCTGACCTGTGCCCTACATTGCCCAACCTCTCTTCTGCATTTTCCTTCTCCCCACCTACCTCCATCTGCAGCCTGATAATGGCACCATCACACCCACTGGAACACAGACTTGTGTGATGAAAATGTGTATCCAGCTAAAGGCACAGTCCTTGGTTTYTAGCCCCACTACCTCCACCTGCCACTACCCCTGTGATTTTTTTTTTCTATTTTTTTAGTTGTAGTTGGACACAATACCTTCATTTTATTTATTTTTATGTTGTGCTGGGGATTGAACCTAGGGCCTCATATGTCTAGGTGAACCTCTACTGCTGAGCCATGACTCCAGCCCAACCCCTTCTCTAAACAAAATTTCTTCTCGACAAAATGCAGTTGACAGAGCTATAATGTAAAGTGGCAAGATAGTGGTTCCTGTGACAGGTGTGGATGGAAGAGAGCATATTCTATATGCTGGCTATATTCTATCTTGATGTGGATGCTAATTGCATGGGTCAGTTCACTTTCTGAAAACTTGATGTTAAATACTTGTGATTTGTTCGCTTTTCTGTTTGTATGTTATACTTCAAATAAGGTTTGCTTATAGATGTAGTTGGTGGTCCCTGTCTTAGGGTCGCTGTAAGATTCAAATACTTAAAATTGCTTTCAAGTAAGCAATTTGAGAGCTATGAACTACTAAGTGTATGAAAGGGATTCTCCTTATCCAAAGTCACCTACCTCTTTATTGTAGGTAAACGTGGCTAGAATTTTATCCCTTTAGCATTGTTGGGTAACATTTGTTCCAATACATCTATCATACATAAATATTTGTTCAGGGACCAAAACTGCTTTTTGTTTTAATCTTTCTGTTCTTGTTTTTTTTTTTTTTTTTTTTTTGGTAAGATTTTTTTTTTCATAGTGCTGGGGATTTAAGCTAGGGCTTCATGCATGCCAAGCAAGCACTCTACCACTGAGGTATATCCCCAGCCCAATTTAGGAAAAAAAAATATTTTTTTAATTTGGAATTGGGGATTGAACTCATGGCCTCATGCCTCGTCCTTGGGTACCTTAGGTGAATACTCTACCACTGAGTTATACCCCATATCTTTTATTTTAAGACAGAGTCTCACTAAATTGCTGAGGCTGGCTTCAAACTTGCCTTCCTCCTCCTGCCTCAGCCTGCTGAGATTACAGGCATGTGCCACCATGCCCGGCTCCATTTTTTTTTTTTAAATGTATTGGCTACTTTGCTGTTTGAATACAGGATTCTGAATGTGGTTTAACCTACTTGATCCCAGAAATGATTACTTTTCTACCTCTTGGATTCATAACCTGTCTGCTCTAGCTTCTGTTTCTCCTGTGTTGCTATCTCTATTTCAGTTTATTTGAGCCAGAGAATAGATATCCCTAYTTGGGGCTATCTTTGCCTTTGGCTGAGCCAGTAAACTTAGATTAAGGAAAGCACATGGCTGCCTGCCTGGGCCTTGGGGTAGTATAGAGACCTTCACCTGTGGGAGGGCAAGATCCAAAGTGCTGAGACTGCAGGGAGTGAAGGAAGACCATAGAACATCAGGACTGGGAGTCATGAATTGTCCAGCCCCACATTTTATGAGTGAGAGGACTGAGTCCCACACACAGTGTCAGACCAACCTTGAGAGGGATCACTGTCACTTTGTATGTCCTGCATTGCCTGGCTCAGTGCTTTTTGCCTCAAGAGACTGCATTTCTCTTCGTGTGAAGAGTTCAGGAATCAGGAATTGAGTGCAGAGAAAACTGCCTTATGTTGCTGGCACCAAGATGCCAGATACTCTGAGAATTATGATGGACAACATCTCCCTTCTAGGTTTTGGCATTTACCATTCTCAACATTTCCCTTCAGGGCAGAGGGCAGGCAATCTGGTATGTGAGGACTTAGAGCCTGAGGAGCTTTCCTTAGGGGTCTATCCTAAGGCAGTTAGAGACCTGGGCCTCTATGACAGGGTGGGGGGGTGTGTTGGCAGACCCATTTAAGAGCTCTACAAGCTTCTTCCTGCCTGAGCCTTTGTACTACTTGGAGAGCTTGAGGGAAAGTAAGGAGCAGTTTAGGACACCAGGGTGGAGGACCCCAGCTTCCAAAAGGCATTCTTTTACCTAGTTCCCCAAACCCAGCACCTGCCACCCTTCCAACTCCTCCCCCATCCCGGAAAATACCTGGAAGGAAGTGAGCGCTCTGGGGCCACTAGCCGGAAGTGGGGGTTTAACTGTCACCTCTTCCCTTGGGGCTTGGGTAGCAGAAGACAGAGGGGGAAATGCAAATCCATACTTGGGAGGGAGAACTTTGAGAGGAAGAGGGTAGCAGCCTTGCCCCCCCCCCCCCCCCCCCCCCCCCCCCCGCATTCCTTCAGGGCCTTGTGGTCC